ATGACTTAACTGACATACTACTAAAATGCTCTCTAGCATCCATCTATTCTCAAGGAAGAACTGAAATGCAACAGAATACCAATCTGGTATGTTGTACCTCCTTAGCAAAATGATCTACTGAGACTTGGGAGGTAAAGACAAGCCACGGTTGTCTGTAGGTCAGTCAAAGTAATGAGGAGCTATTGATGAAAAAAAAAAAAAAAAAAAAGTTGAGAAGAACGATAGCTTGCAGAGAATGGGAATTATGACTTCCCTGAAATTACACTACTTCATGAAATAATTCAGATGTACTTGACTCTCTCATATTTGTTTCATACTCTATGATGACTCAAAGGCATTGCCAGACAAAATTTACTGATGCAGTAAGGCTTGGTCCTCCCTGGAAAAGTGAAATGAAAAACATGAGTCAATTGTTTAGGCAGGTCAGCCTAAAGTATCATCACAATGGAGACAATAACTGGGCTTTTCGTAATTCTACCTGCCTGGATTCATTTGCATATCAGGGTCAGTGGGAATTACCTCCCCACTAAAACACAAAGGAATCAAACAAAATCATACTAGTAACATAGAAACCATTGGCTGGAATTCTATGATAACTTCCCAAAACATCTTTTCTCCAACTTACCTCTAATGACGCCTTTGGTTACTCTCTTTAATTGAGCCTACTATATTTGGGGGGGGGGGGGGGGGAATCTTGTCCTCACTTAGCATTATGCTCCAATATTTATCTAAAATGACAAGTAAAACTCACAATCTCTCACCCTCGTGTAAATATCTATGATGAGCATTAGTAAGCATTTATCAAAACTAAAGCACACTTCTGGGAATGTGATTAGAAGGAGCACAAATCTGCTTTTATAGTACCCAATTAATATCAGGTAAATAGAAGATATATTAAATCTTAATCTGAACACTTTATTTGAATCATACATACATCCTTTACCCATATATTTTCATTCCTCGCTTTGCTCTCTAGGTCTGGTCAAAATGCAACTCAAGAAAATCTATGACATTATGAAGGGGGCTACCTCACACATGAGATCTTTTTTGTATGCAATTTCCTTCTATTAAAATTTAATTCAATCTGGATGCGGAGAAAAAGGAACTCTCGTGCACTGCTGGTGGGAATGCAGACTGGTACAGCCACTGTGGAGGACAGTATGGAGTTTCCTCAAAAAACTAAAAATGGAACTCCCATTTGGCCCAGTGATCCCTCTTCTAGGAATATATCCCAAGAAAAGAGAAACACCAATCAGAAAGGATCTATGCACCCCTATGTTCATAGCACAATTTACAATAGCTAAGATTTGGAAACAGCCTAAGTGCCCATTAACAGATGAGTGGATTAAAAAACTGTGGTACATCTACAGGATGGAATACTATGCTGCTGTAAAAAGGAACTCCTACCATTTGCAAAAGCATTGATAGACCTGGAGAGCATTATACTAAGCAAAATAAGCCAGTCAAAGAAAGATAAATACCAAATGATTTCACTTATTTGTGGAATATAATGAACAACATGAACTGATGAACAAAAAACAAATCCAGAAACAGAGAAGCACCAATCAGACCGTCAAACCTTAGAGGGAAGGTAGGGGAAGGTGGGAGTAAGTGGGAGAGATCAATCAAAGGACTTGTATGCATGCATATAAGCCTAACCGATGGACAAAGATACCAGGGGGGTGAGGTCATGAGCGTGGGGGGGGGGGGGAAGTGGTGGTAAGGACACATATGTAATACCCTAATCAATAAAGAAAAAAAATGTAATTCAATCTAAAAATTTCCCCCCTACAAATACATAAATGAGAATTGGCTTGAGACTTGATGAATTTGACCTATATTGTTAAACACTAGAGAATTAATGACAACCCCTCTAGTATTCTCTCATAATTAAAATAATTAAAGAGCCACAAAAACCCTAAACCAAACATTAGGAGAGGATTTCTTTCTTTTCCCCAAACGTGGGTAATGTGAAAATAGAAAATATTTCCGTCCAGCACAAATGAGAGGAAAACAAAACAAAACAAAAAGGAAATTCAGAGGCAACTGGTTACAGGTATATCTCAAACTAAAACATAAATAAAAGGGTAAAATACACACACACACACACACACACACACACACACACAAATCAAGTATTCAGGAAAACATTAGCTCCCAGTTTCTTTTAAGATAACAATACGAAACTAGTTCAGGGACAAATTTTGAGAACTCAGATTGGAATTCTAAGGACTAGAATTGCTACATAATGGTCATCTATGGGAATTTGTCATAATGGAATAGAAGCAAATGTAAGAATTATCTTCTCTCCCAAAAATTCCAAGCATAACACATAGTATTTTTAGAAATGTTTGTTTTATATTAACCAGATCAACTTTATATTGACTATGGCCTGCAATTAAAGTGATAGCTAATTTAGCAGTCAAGCACTTGGTCTTGCCAGGCTCTGCATGCATTGTCAAGTTTCACACTGCTAATTTTCCCAGGAGCAGTTTTGTTTTCAAATGCCCCAAGGCCAATTACTGAGCCCAAACATAAACTTTGTAAGTAAAGGAACTCCAAGCAGCAAGAAAGTTTAAGCACACATCATGGGATTCTAATGCTCACTGTAGCTTCTCTAGTTTTAGAATCTATTCTCTTATATACTTACCAGTTTTTGTTACACTGTTTTCATTTAGATGAGTCACAGTGTTCAGGAGAATAACCAATTTATTAATCATAGAAGATTGCTCATATCTACTCTGGTCAGTCTAGCAGGATATGTTTATCTTACACATTATGAACAATATAACTATTTCTTAAAAAAGAGTCCTTTTCAAAATACTTACAAACTTGTGTTTTGTGAGAATACAATATGTTTGATAATTATGTTTATATTGGGTAGCAGCAAACTTGATAAATACTGACTTCAAAGTGAAAATACCTTAAGTTTACACATGCCATGAACAATTCATCAATGTCATTCACTGTTTTGCAAAGTATTATCTTCTCCAAATGAAGCATAATTAATAAAACTGAAGAAATATAACAGTCATGTTATTGGCAAATATATTTATTCACTTTTATTAGAAGGGGGACTTTAACCATTGTGTGAAATAATTTTGTCTGGAAGAATAAGAGATTTCAGGGAAGCATTTCTTTGGGGAAAAAGAAAGTCCACTTTTGTTTTGGCAGTTGTAATATGTATGCATACAGAACTAACAGAGAGATGAGTGGTCTAATTTGGGTCATTGTAAATGCCCATCATAAAAGTAATTTTAAAAAAAACCTTCCTTACTTTGGAAGAGATCAACATTTTTGTTATATGGTTTTAGGTGGTAAATTAGGCATAAGTCTCAGCTCTCCTTGTCAATGAAGATTTTGTTAGTCAATGTTAAACTGTTAAAAATGAATGGTGATAGAAGCATCTCTTTACATTGGAAAACATGTAATACAATGAAATCCGAAAGGTAATTCCTTTTCCTTCTTTTGTATTATATTTTAAATAATTTAAGATGAGATTAACAGGCTTCTTTCTGGGAGATGTTATTACGATGCATCTTTTAGAGCAAGTACATCATAGTCTAAATGTACATTAGCTATCTACCAAGCTATCCCTTTGTCATCTCATTTAAGTGAAATCAAGTTAGGTAAATCCCACACTATGCTACATAAAAACAAACAAACAAAACAAAACAAAACACCTGTTAAATGAGCCTTATTTTAGTTAATTTAATAAATCAATAAAATTGTGACTGAAAGTATTTAGGTCAGGAATATAAGATTATGTATTGTCACTTTTAAATGAGTAGGTAGTTTAGAGCTACTTGAAAGTTTATTATTTAAATGTGAGTCACCCATCTTCATTCTGAGGTGTTAGATTTAAATATATTAAAAACCTGCTCCTTCAACTCTGTTTAAGACTATTAAAATAAAACAGACAAAAACATAATAGCTATACCCTAAATAACTTTATATGTATCACTGGTTGCTATGACAGTTTATAATATGAAAACCATCACATATATGATGGTAAGTGCCCATAATCAGAGAAAAACCACATAAAACATTAACCCCCAAAAGATGACCATAGAGTCCTTTCTAACAAATACACTCAAATGTACTCCTGAATTTTGAATCTTTGTTTTTAACTAGTATACAAACCTAAAGATAAAATACAGAATTTTTTTTTCAGATTTATTTATAAGGCTAAAACATGTAAATTGTATAGTCACCCTCTATATATGAATTGATACTGAGATTCTTTCTCTTTTCTAGCTCAAATAAAAGCAACATAAGTTATTTTACACTACAATTCAATGTTTATAAAGGATAACACTGGAAATTATACTTGACTGGATTCTATCCTGCCCAAAAAAATACAGTGAGTCAAAGATTTGTTTAGAAAATTTGTCATTGTTCCATTGAGTGCATTTCTATATCACCTGATGGAAAGGCTTTTTGAGAGATTATAATATATTGCAAGCTTATTGTAAGCAAGCAATATACTTTATCATCAAATTTAAAGCTGTAAAAGTCCTATTTTTTCCAGTATTTGATAATTGGATTTACTTCTAATTACCATCTATTTGATAAAGTGCTTAATTTTAATAGTGGAATTTGGTTTTACAGTAGTCTTTTAAATAAGCACAAAGTAAATTAATCTTTATTACTTTTCAAGAAAATTACAAAATCTATTGTGTTGAGTTGTATTTAACTATCTCATAAATGGCCCAAACCTTAAATGTGTCATTCGCCACTCCCTCCCCCTCCCCACCTTCCCAACCCCATTTTAAGTTTCATCTTATTTGGTGGTTGTTTAAACACAACACGGAAGCCTCTTTATGAACTTTTTATGCTAAGCACTTGCTTGGAAATCTTATTCCTTTCCAGGGTTGGAAATGCGTCTTGGGCTGACCAGTGAAGACCAATCCTTGAGTGTGGATGTAGGATGGGAAAATTGCAGGGAGGTTCCTGTGGGAGTTGGGAAAGCTGGGAGGACCTGACTTGAGAAATCTCACCTTTTGAGCGGCTTTGGAGGGACTCTTGTTTTTGCTGCCTTTGGGTCTTCCCCTCGGTCTCTTAGGAGAGGGCTCGCCAGTTGGCTCCTAATTGTGGAGAAGAAAAAAATAAATAAAATAAAAATAAAAATGTTGTTGTGGCAAGGAGGTCTGCAAGAAATTGACCCTGACCCCATAGTTACATTTTCTGCATGTGCTGCTCCACTGAACTGTTGGAACACATTCAGTTAAAGCTTAAATAGTAGGGATGATGCAGAGTTTTCAGAAAGGGGCAATGAGGACCCTTTTAAATCCAAGGGTTCAAAGAGGAAACATATTTTACATATGAAACCTAGATTCCATTTCAACCCTACCAAGGTAACAAAGGATGACAAGTTTGCATGTTCTAGAAGGAAAGGCATACATTAAGGTGAAAAGGTTGCATGGTTATGCATCTGGCAATTCATCCATAAGCATTTTACACAAATACTACTGGCCATAAGCATTTTACACAAATACTATGATGCTAGCTTCCTTTTTCTGTTAGAAATCAAAATTTCTAACAGAAAAAGGAAGCTAACATCATAAATATTTCAACAATCTTCCCTACTGAAAGATGGTTTTTAATCATCTCTACATATCTGCATTGTAGTCAACACATTGAGTGAAATATTGGAGCAATTATCCAAGTTCTTCAACTCAAAACAACTCCATTCCCCTTAAAATTTCCAAATAATTATGTTAAATCTGTTGTGGGAGGTTTTGCTTGAATTATCTAGATAATTGCTTCAATTCTCCACTTCCTTTTAGAGATTCAGGCATGGTCTCTAGTCTAAATTTAAATATCTTTTGATAAAAATGAAGAAACTCCCCAAAACTTTCTTTTGAGAAAACTGCTATGGGGGTGAACTGGAGAAAAATAAGGGGGTGGGGAGTCTTAAGGAGGAATGGAAGTGTCTGGGAAGGAGAAATTGAAACTATCAATAGGTTTTAGCAAAAACTTTAAATGGCTTCTATGCCAAGTTAGTAAATACTCAAGTGGTTAAGAGAATGTGATGATTAATATTCCAGTTCCTAAATATTTACCTAGTGCATCATCAAATTACACTTCATTCAGATTCGATGATTAAACGAGACTAATTAACTTAAAACTCCTCGTGAAAGTCTTCAATGAAAATTCGCGTCCTACTGAGAGAATCTGGGGAAGGTTACTGAAAGCTTCCGTGGGACCACTAGCGCCAGTGGGCACATCCGGAGCACACACATCGGAGACCCATTTCCCTTTCTTTGTGAACTCTGCCTTAACTCAAAGGTAAAAACCTCCCATCACCTCCAGACCACACAGCAATTTCTTTTCCATTATTTTTTTGGAGGCGGGAGGCAAGGAGAAGAGCTCGAGAGAGCTGGGTGGCGGGTGGGAAACTGGGCGGGAGGGGACCGGCAGGGACTAGCTGGGAGGTGGAAAACGGGGTCCGAGCGCGGTAAGAGGTGTCGCCTGAGGCAGAGCGGGAAAACCCGGGGGCCTCTAGATGGGCTTGTTTCCTTTGATGATTTAAAAAAGGTACAGCCCTCTCCATTTTCCTCAAAAAAACGCGCAGGCCAGCCAACATTGTTCGCTCTCCCCACCGCGCTCTCTCGAGCGGCTTTGCGACTCCGGGATAATTTTCTATAACCAGCCTCTGTGCCATGAAGGAAGCTCTTTGAGTCTAAGGGATGAAGACGTTTTAAAAGCCCGCGGAAGCGAAGTTTAAATGTTCTCCATGGGCATGTCCCGCTCCGGAGCCCTGCCCGCCAAGGCTTGGAAATTGCAGCGTACAAAACCCCCCGCCCTGGGCGCTGCTGCGCGCAAGCCTTGCAAGCGCCGGCTGCACGCTTAATTGGTTGCATCCGCAGACAAAACCCTCCACTCCGCGGGGTCCCGGGCGCCCCTCGATCTTCCCCTCCCAACCCCCCAGCCAATGGCCCTGGAGTCACTAACACATTGAATGTCTGAAGCGCTGAGGAGGCGCGGGATCCAGGGGCAAAAAAGGGAGCCTGGGCGCTTGGCGAGGAAGTGACCCTAGAGCTTCAGGGCACTCTCCCTCCGACATTCACTTTCCTTCGCACCACGGGCCAAACGGGCTCATCCCGTCCCCGGCGGACCCAGCCCCTCCGGGTGCCCCTTCCCGGGGATCCCTCGGCGGCGCCGCCGCGTTCAAAGAGCGCAGAGGGGACCGGGCTGCCCGCGAGTTCTTTGTCGGGAGCGCGCGGGTCTCCGGCCACCAGGCACTCGGGGAAGGCGCCAAGGGGGCGGCTGCGGAGTCCCAGCCCCGGGCCCGCTAGCCGCCCGGGATGGCGGGAGACAGAGCCCTGAACGGCCCCCCAGAACTTGAGCCCCATCCAGAGCATCCTAGCCCCTCGCCCTTCCTTCCCCCGGGGCCATTGCAACGCGGTTAAGGAAAGCGCCCGCGAGCCCCGGAGGGTCGGACCCCGGCCGGCCGCTTCCAGGGACCTGGAGCCACCTCGACCCTCCGGACGGTGCACAATAGCGAAAGTCCGAGGACCCGCTCCCCTTCTCACCCCCCACCGCACCTCCCGCCTGCATCCCGCCTCTCGGCCCGGCTCCCCTCCTCCCCGCCCGGAGGTGCTCAGCCGCGCACGGGACTCCGCAGCCCTCCCCCGGCCGGCTGGCGGGCAGCGCGTGGCACAGCCGGCGCGACCGGAGCGACCAGAGCGACCGGGACGCCCGGGACTCCTGCATCCGAGCGGCTGCACATCGCGGGGGCCCCCGCGGAGGGCGCGGGGCTCCCACCCCCCGGGGTACTGACTTGCTGCTGCTTCCTGGGTCGGCCGCGTCCTCGCTTCTGGGGCGCGGGGGCGGCAGGTTGTCCCTGGGCTGAAGTGGACGGCTGCCCGGCGCCTTCCCCGCGTGCGCTCATCCTGCCTCCGCCGCCGCCGCCGCTGCTGCCGCCGCTGCCGCCGCTGCCCCCGGCCGGCCCGGCACCTTCGGGGAGAGGAGCCGCTGGGGCTGGAGAAGGAGGCGGAGGGAGCGAGAGCCGGCGCGCTGCGAGGGCTGCTGCTTAAGCGGCCGCCGCTGCCACCATCCACACCGGACGTCCAGCGGCTGCCAAGAGAGAGGAGAGGGAGGAGGAGGAGAGAAGGAGGCGCTGCCGGCGGCGGCGGTTGGGTGCCGGAGGTGGAGGTGGAGGTGGAGGTGGTGTTGGTGGAGGTGTTGGTGGCGGTGGTGGAGGTGGCGGTGGTGGTGGCGAGAGGAGGAGGAAGAGGAAAGCGAGGGAAAAGAAAAAGAGGGTTTGGAGTTGGGAAGGCACCCCTTTCGGTTTGGGGATCAGGAGTTGCGATCCCCGGGAGCGCTTCGCCAGGAGCTCGGAGAGGGAAGAGACTTGTAGTGAATGAGGGTGTCCCTTGAAATGTTAGGAGGGGGAGAAAATTCCTCCTCCTCCTCTTCTCCCCCCTGCTCGGCGGAGTTCGCAGAGCAAGAAAAAGAGAGAGAGAGAGAGAGAGAGAGAGAGAGAGAGAGAGAGAGAGAGAGAGAGAGAGAGAGAACGAACAAGTAGCGCCCCGGGCAGTCGGGAAGCCGAGGAGGACGGGGAGCGTCTGCCGGGACGGGAGCGGGTCGGGCGCGGAGCGCGGAGGAGGGTGGGGAGCGGGGGCACCGCGCCTCCTCGGGGGCCGGAGCGGCGGCGGCACCGGGAGCTGGAGGGGGACGGCTGCTCGCTCCTGCGTCCTGCACCGAGTGCGCTCTGCCCCGGCTGGGAGTTTTCTGAGTTCCTGCCCCGGGATTCGAGCGGGATGTGTGTGTGTGTGTGTGTGTGTGTGTGTGTATGCGTGCGCGCGCGCCTGGGGAGGGGGCGGCGGGCCGGGGTGGGGGCAGTGCCCACCTCTAATCGTGGGCGGATGGGGAGGAGGGGGCTGCGCGGGAGGAGCAGTGTAGGGAGGAGGGGGGCCGGGCGGACCGCCGAGCCGAGGCGCCTGGCCGCGGGCCAGCGGCAGCGTTCTCCATACAATTGCCTCGGCGGCGGCGGCGGCGGCGCCCGGGTGCCACCCGGAGCCCCGCTCACGTGCTCCCGCCCGGCGGCGAGGTGAAAGGGACAGGCCGGCGGTCCCGAGCTGGCTCGCCGCGGGCCGCGCCCCTCCCGCCGCCCGGGGTCGCCCCTGGGCGGCTGTCCTAGGAAAGGCGCGGGAATGGAACTGCCCGGGAGCCTTTCAGGGGCTTGGCCTTTACCTGCGCCTCCACCATGCGGAGCCAGCACTCTGCGGGAAGAGTTTAGCTGCGCGCCCCGCGGAGCTCTGGGTCCCCGTGAGTGAGAAGGAACTGAAGGGGAGTAGGAGCTGGCCCCTGGCAGCCCGGCTCTGCTTGGGAATGCCCTCATCACAGATCACAGGACCGTACACACACAGATATGCACGCGGATACCTGCGTGCACGGAGATACATGTGCACACTTGCACAGGCACATACGTGCAATAAGCACACACGTAAACATGTGCGAACTTGCATGTACCCGTGCACGCGGATGTATATCCGCGCATTAGCGGATACATGCACATATGCAAACAATGTGCACACACACGCGCGCGCCGAGCGCGCCAGTCTCTTCATTGAAAATTTTTTCTCCCGGAAAGAAGAGAGGCAACAGGAAGTCTCCCCCCCACCCTACCCTACCCAGCTGGCGCTAAACCCAACGCTAGCAGGGTGGAGGGGTTACCCCGAGAGAGGACCTCCTACGCTGCCTAACATCACAATTGTGCCAACTGCCCAACCCTCTCTCCATTTTACCTCGATTTAACCTTCTCTTTAGGAACTCCCTTTCTGCTAAGTCCTCATTTTATAACTTAGGATGTTTCAGAGTTACGTGAACACTATAATGACCACAGTCCAGCTTACAAAGGTGGAGTACATTTTAAAATGTGCCTCTTTTCATCCTTGAATAACAAAACACACCCCCAAAAACAGGTTTAGATTTTCATACATCAAACCTAAAATTATTTTGGACTAATTCCAAAATAAAAAATAAAAAAAACTTGCACACTCCTCCCCCAATTTTTTTCTTTTCTTTTCTTTCTTTCTTTTTTTTTTTTTTTTTTTTTTTTTTTTTTTTTTTTTAAGTACAGGCCACCGTGGAATAAAAAACGCCTACTTTATAGCCCTAGCAGGGAGTTAGGCACCGCCAGGTTCCGCCAGCCGGCGGAGGAGGTGCGTGTACACGTCTGCTGCGGTGAGGCAGCGCTGATTGGTCCGCGTTGCCATTTTAAATTCATTTCCAGCTGCCCTCTGCAGAGCTGGGACACTTCGCTGCACGTGGAGTGCCCTGCAGAAACCCAGGGTTTCTCCTGGGTCTGGGAACGCTTAGCAGTGATAGGGAGGGAGAGCCCCCATCCCTCCGGATGGAGCCCAGCAGCTGACTGGGGAGGGAGGGTCTTCACAGGAATCAAAGGTTTTCTTTCTGCCAGGGCTTGGCTGAAAGATGGTATCTTCATCAAAGGGTTTGAAATTTTGAGTTCTAACCATTGCAGTGACATTGCCTAACTGCCAAGTTTGCATGCTTTTTTTTCTTTCTTTTTTTTCCCATTGGATCGCTTTCGCATTGGGGGGTGCACGTTTTACATACACAGGCTAACTGGGCTTCTGGGTATGTTTTTGTTTGCTTCCTTTTTGCTGGGACTGTAGACACCATTCCGAGAGCACTGTAAGAGTGATCATTGAAGATTTCAGCCAGCAACTTTTATACTGGATACATTATAGCCTTAGTTTTTTTTCCTTAGTTTGTTTGTTTGATTTAAAAAAAAAAATATTCACAAGGAGGGGATTCCAAGATGCTTGTGTTTACTTATTTACTTTTTTTTTTTTTTTTTTTTTTTTATCCTTGACTAAGAAAAGCACAGAAGAATTGGAGTTGGGAGACTGTCTAGCCACTTGTTTTCAGGCCCCTGTCACTTAGCTATCAGACTGTTTGACCCCTTTTGAATTTGTAACAAGTATTGGAGGGAAACCCCTGGTCAGTTTGGCTCAGTGAATAGAGCATTGGCCTGGGGACTGAAGGGTCCCAGGTTCGATTCCAGACAAGGGCATGTTCCTTGGTTGCAAGCATGTCCCCAGTAGGGGGTGTGAAAGAGGCAGCTGATCGATGTTTCTCTCTATCCCTCTCCCTTCCTCTCTGTAAAAAAAAAAAATCAATAAAATATATATTTTTAAAAAGAATAGAGGGGAAAATATTGTATCCAGTTTTGTCTAAATAGTTTTCTATTTAACTTTTTCGGGTTTCTGTGTATTTTCTCTAAGGAAGATTTTTGAAACTTTAAAAATGCTTTTATATATCTTAAGTTAAATGGTTATATTTTCATTTAAAGAATAGATTTTTTTTCTTACATTTGAGTTTTTGTTTTGCTTTTCCAGTTTAAGTTGCTCAGTTGTTCACTTCCACTTCTTTATCTCAACATATTTCAAGCTAAAGTCTTATTTCTAATTTGAAAATTTTCCAGCTGGGTTTAGTCCGCATAAAACTATATTTTTTTCTTCTTCTGCACTTACTATCAAACTGAACAGTTCACACCTTGGTTGTGTATGTTAAAGATTTCTTATTATCTGCAATACATGATTTAGTGTTTAGATCGGCTCTCCTCATTAGTGGGTGGTAAATGAGCTCAGTAGACTCATAACATCATTTAGAAACAATAAATTGAATGCAATAGGTAATGTCACATGTAAAAGTTCTGTTTTACATATGTGTGTAAAAGTTGTATTCAGATGCTTGTTTTCATCTTTTTACAGTTTGGAAAGTGGGATGAATCTTAGCACTGTGTTATCACTAACTAGACAGTCTCTTTTCCATTTTGGTGGTATATGTAATACTGATGTATTTTATAACCAACAGCACCATAGATCTGAGAATACGTGTATGTCAAGTCTATTTCTTAGTGTGGGTTGTGGTGTGACATGAGTCAAGGACGCTGAATTAGACAGTTGGGAGACCTGGGTTCCTCATGACTTCACTAAACCAGCTCTGCAGCCTTTGGTCAACCATTTATCCTCTCTGAATTTCCAGGCCCCCATCTCTAAAATGCGAGATCAGTATAATTCGAAGGTTCTTCAGTTCTAATAGCCTTTAAGACATGTCTATACTACCTTATTCTCTATTCTCTATATATATTGTCTATATACAAATTGCATGGAAGTTCCATGGAACTAGATAGTATTTCTAATGCCTCTTCTTTGTACTAGTTGTGTGTTGGTAGTGTTCCATTCACAATAGACTTTTCGTCCTTATTAATTGATTGCTATGACAAAGTTACTCTTACTAAGTTACCATTTTACAAATGTTCCACAGGGTGAGAAAAGCATTATATATGTTAAAATATCCTCAAAATTATTTGGACTAAGGAAGATGTATCTGTGATGAAGTGGTTGAAGTTCTCAAACTACACTTTATTACATTATATTTATACATAAATTAAAGAATAATTTGAGAATTCCCTCCGATTAAAATTGATTGAATTAATTTTGGATCGATGTGTTTTTTATGTAATTAAACAGATTTATTATAACCAGAGTTTTGAAAGTGAATTTATAGAGGCCATAGAAAAACTATAACATTTATGGAACAATGCATAGCACATATAAAAATACATGTGTGAATGTATAATATATAAAAACTCAGTATAGTATAAGGTAAATACATATTTCTGAAAAACATTTCCAGTGTTTTAACAGGAACTCACTTGTACTGCTCAAGCTCACAATTTTAAAGGTTGTGTCTTTTAAATGTGATTAGTATTTAATGAGCTGTATGAGAGATCATCTGTAAGAGTTTTCCTACAGTACAGGTATCACCAAGAAAGAATATATGCTGTCAAGTTAACATTTTGGTGGTTGGTAAAGAGAGAGTGTTGTGAACAGGCTTTCTTGTCCCACAGACAGAAGATCACCAAACAAAATGAATTTGTCCACTCACTTATTCAACAAAGAAATATTGAGTTGGTTTTGCAGTAATCTCACCTATTTTTCTCTCAGGACTCAGGAATGTAATTCATTCAGAAATGGAAAGAATCTCTTCTGAAACAGTGAGGTAATCATTTAAAATCTATTTACCTCTTATGTTAAACCTTTAATCTACTCTTACAAATATTTATTCTACTCTATCCAATCCATAGTTCATTCAGCAAATATTTATTGAGTACCCACAATGTGCTAGAATTCACAGAACATTCTTCTGGATGAAAGTCATGGAAGCAGAACCAAAGTGGAATGATTTCATTTCTGTCTTCATCTGTTGACATTATACTGTCAGCCCCAAACAACCTTAGTCTAGATATACTATTAAGCAGCTTTGAAGAGCTGGATGAACATGGGCTTTTAAATCAGATTTGGGGGTAGGAGGGGGGTAGGAAGAATGATAAAATGGCCCCTAAGGTTTCCTGCCCCACTGGTGTACTAAATGTGCATAATTCCTGGAACTATATCATATAATTGGGGGGGGGGGGCATGTCCTTCAGCCCAGCCAGCACCCTCTCCAATCTGGGACCCCTTGAGGGATGTCTGACTGCCCATTTAGGCCCTCAACGGGCAATCAGACATCCCACTCACAATTCAGGACTGCTGGCTCCCAACTGCTTGCCTGCCTGCCTGCCAGCCTGATCACCCCCTAACCACTCCCCTGTCAGCCTGATTGGTACCTAATTGCTCCCCTGCTAGACTGTTTGCCCCTAACTGCCCTCCCCTGCAGGCCTAGTCACCCTTAACTGCCCTCCCCTACAGGCTTGATCGCCCACAACTTCCCTCCCTTGCAGGTCTGATCCCTCCCAACTGCCCTCCCCTACTGGCCTGATCCCTCCCAACTGCCCTCTCT